AAAAAAAAAAAAAAAAAAAAAAAAAAAAAACTGAAAATCATTTTCCCACCAAAGTGGTGGAAAACCCAATTCAACAAAAACATGGAAAAAAGGGTTACGTGAGGGGTGGGAGGAAAATATTTTCCATGGAAAATTTTGGCTATCAAACATGATAAAAGTGGGAAATGAAATTTCAATTCCATTTCACATGGAAACAAAGCGCCCATCAAACAGGCCCTTAGTGTCTAGATCCAGCAGAAAATTGTTGATTTAAACAGTTCAAATTGTTGTGGATGACCAGGCAAGAAACTAGTATGATTGGAAGATGGTCACATGCCTAAAATTATTTTGTCATCACATCACATGCATCATAATGGTACCCCTCGTGGCATGATTCCAATGTGTTATCAATTCACATGCTTTATATATGTGGAAGATTATAATAGATATTAGCTTGGAGAAATCAGGACATAATTGAAGGATTTTTTTGGAAAAGAAAATTAGGAAATAAGCTGACATTTAAAAAAAATAAAATAAAATCATTTTGTTAGTTTAATAGCTTTCCGTATATACACATAGAGGAGGACTTCCTTGTAAGTGTGGGAACGTGCAGTTGTATCCCAATATCTTAGAACTGGACCAACCCGATTCCACTGAAATTGTTAAAATGGAACCGTCGATTTTGCGGAAAAGAAAGATGACACCAAGATCGATCAATTCTGATCCGATTCTTTATGAACAAAAATAAATTGTGAACTATACCAGAACAATTCAGTTATCGTCAATTTTAACTATGGTTGGGTGGTGGAGTTGGGGGTGGGGGTGCGGGGTTTGTTTGGGAAGGGGGAAGAGGAAGATGAGAAAACCGGTTTGTTGTTGGTATTCAATTCTTCCTAGCCGATGTGTATACCTAGGAGGGGTAGGTGAGATTTGATTAGAGTATTATATATATAAAATTTGTTAGTCATAATCAAATCTAAATCCAGGAGTTTCAAAGCAAATTTCTATCCACTGTCGCCACGGCTGTCAGACTTGACATTTACCAAAAGAACAAAAGTCATATTTTTCTTGTCCTGCTGTCACGCGTGGTTTTCCAGGGGATGTCTAGCTGTGATTTAAAAATCGAGTATTTTTGTCGATTTTAATACTATCCAAAGTCATATTATATCCAGAAGGACCAAACCGATAAATCCAAGGTCGAGCTTTCAAATTTGACGTCAAGTATAAAAAATAGATTAATTTGATGAGAGGTACATGTTGATGTTGGAATTAAACACGTTTATAACCATTTTGGTGGCCTTCTCTTTTGACTTTAAGGTAAATTTTAGTTGGTTCCATGTTTAATTAACATATTAATTAGGTAAGTTGGCTAAATGCACATATTTGTAAATTGGATTGAGTCTTCACAGTACCTAAAAACTTTTAGCTGATATTGAGTTTCTCTAAAATTACTGTTTAAAATCTAAGTTAGAATCAACAACGAGTTTTAACTACATATTTGATAGGATCCACAATCTTTTAACCACACGTTCCATCACTTTTAGCAAAATTTAATTTTTATCTAAATCAAACAAGGGACATACTAAAGTTTGCTTTTTACGACGCATATGTGAACTCCGTATAAACTTATGTAGTAAATATTGATTTTTTTACGGCTTAATTTTTTTTATGGCATACAATGCATGCCGTAAAAAAGGAATTCAAGCCATTAATTTATTTTTTACGACATGCAAAAGCACGCCATAAATACTGACTTCCTTTTACGCATGCAGAACATGCCGAAAAAAATATATCAAAAGAGCGTTGAATTCAACTCTTTTTACGGTGTGCACTATCATGCCATAAAAGAAAAAAAAGCTGATATTTTTTACGACTTGCATTATTGCACACTATAAAAAGTTGAAATTTAGCTTTTTACGGTGTGCACTTGTGGTCCGTAAATGTCAATTTAATTTTTTAAAAATATTTATTTATTTGATTACCAACAAATCTATAATACTTAAAGAACGGAATTATATATATCAACATTTATATAATCACGTTCTTCATAATTTCAAAAAAACTACTTTTGTTGTACAAAGTAAACGTATGCCGTAAAAAGCTATTTTTGTTGTACTGTACATGTATTACAAAGAATCAATAGATAAAAATTTCAAACAGTTTACAAACTTGCTAAGAGGAATCACTTTTGTACCCATATTTGATATATTAAATTGAGTTGAAACTTTTCCAATTTTAAGAATTCCTTTTGAAATGATGTCTCTTATAAAATAATATTTAACATCAATATGCTTTGTTCTATCATGAAANTAGGACATATTTAAACTATTGACTGCTTACTTCGCATTTTTCATAAAAATGAGTTTTGTCATATTTATTTTATTTTATATTTGTATTTTTTAAAAAATATGTGGTTAAAAAGTAGAAAAATTTTAGATTACGTGAAAAATTATTTTACTGAAAAAATGTGTTGTTAAAAATGAGTTTTGAGATAATCGAGATTAAACAAGAGCTTCAAATTCATGAACGATTCTAGGATTTGAATCTCCTAATTAAATATGTTATTCTGGTTTGACTCATATATCACGACTAATTTGTTCTATAGTTCAAGCTTTTGACGTCTAAAACGTGTCTTTATGGAAATGTTGACTTCTTGCCAGAATTCTAACCTGATTTCAATGCAGAAGGCTTCATTTGGAAGTTATTTTCCACCTTCAGATTTTAGGCCCAGTTTTGAAATTCTTTACCTTTAATATAATAATATTAAAATATTAAACATATAATTTATATTTTAAAAATATAACTAACACCATATTTTTAAAGAAGATTCTTAATCAGCTGATTAATGATAATTAAAACTTAAAATTATGGTTTAAAAAAATGAAGTTTTAAATAACGATTTTTTGGATAACGTGTGATAAAAGCAGGAAAAAGTTTTAAATTTATGCGTAAAATATTTTATTGTGCAAATGTGTGATTGAAAATGAGTATGAAAGCTGACGAACAGGGACTTAATTATATTGGAGATGAATTTTGTGAATATTGTTTAATTTTCTTATGTGGAAAATTTATTTTCGCAATCAACTAAATCATCGCAAATAATCCAAATAATGTAAAGATTTAATTTGCTAGTAATCTATAGTTTCTACGAATTCAAAATGAAGCCAAATGAAAAGGAAAAACACACATCAATTACTGATACTTGTACACAATACAAGTATTATCTTGACAATGCTCGTAACTGTGCACAAACATCAGAGGAACTTAGAAATAACGAAGAGTTGGAACTGTAACAGCAACCAGTGGAAATTTTCTAGGAACTGCTAGAGCTCGGGCTTCATTCATGTCCAATTCCTCCGCTTTTGCTCCACCGGGAAGTTCCCAATCAAACTTGTGCACAAGATTTGCTAATACAAGTTCGATAAAATGCCATTGCAAAACTAATCCCTGGACAGATTCTCCTGCCAACCCCAAATGGAATAAATTGGAAATCAAGACCTTCATAATCTACAGAAGAATTCAAGAATCTCTCTGGCTCAAACTTCTCTGGTTCATACCAATATGCAGGGTCTCTACAAATTGCCCAGACATTTAACAATACAATTGTCCCAGTTGCATTATATTCAAATCCTGCCTCGCTTCACGAAGAATCAGTGCTATAGGAGGATGACTTCGAAGAGTTTCCTTAAGGACGGCTTTCAAATAATGCACTCTCTCCAAGTTGTCTACTGTTATGTCTGGTTTTCCACCAAGAATCCCTCTCAG